GAGTACAGTGTGTACATGTATAGAGTACAGTGTACATGTATTGAGTACAGTGTGTACATGTATAGAGTACAGTGTGTACATGTATATAGTACGGTGTGTACATGTATAGAGTACGGTGTGTACATGTATAGAGTACAGTGTGTACATGTATATAGTACGGTGTGTACATGTGTAGAGTACAGTGTGTACATGTATAGAGTACGGTGTGTACATGTATAGAGTACAGTGTGTACATGTATAGAGTACGGTGTGTACATGTATAGAGTACGGTGTGTACATGTATAGAGTACGGTGTGTACATGTATAGAGTACAGTGTGTACATGTATAGAGTACAGTGTGTACATGTATAGAGTACGGTGTGTACATGTATAGAGTACAGTGTGTACATGTATAGAGTACAGTGTGTACATGTATAGAGTATGGTGTGTACATGTATTGAGTACGGTGTGTACATGTATAGAGTACGGTGTGTACATGTATAGAGTACAGTGTGTACATGTATAGAGTACGGTGTGTACATATATAGAGTACAGTGTGTACATGTATAGAGTACGGTGTGTACATGTATAGAGTATAGTGTGTACATGTATAGAGTACGATGTGTACATGTATAGAGTACGGTGTGTACATGTATAGAGTACAGTGTGTACATGTATAGAGTATGGTGTGTACATGTATAGAGTACGGTGTGTACATGTATAGAGTACGGTGTGTACATGTATAGAGTACAGTGTGTACATGTATAGAGTACAGTGTGTACATGTATAGAGTACGGTGTGTATAGAGTACGGCGTGTACATGTATAGAGTACAGTGTGTACATGTATAGAGTACGGCGTGTACATGTATAGAGTACGGTGTGTACATGTATAGAGTACGGTGTGTACATGTATAGAGTACAGTGTGTACATGTGTAGAGTACGGTGTGTACATGTATAGAGTACAGTGTGTACAGAGTACAGTGTGTACATGTATAGAGTACAGTGTGTACATGTATTGAGTGCAGTGTGTACATGTATAGAGTACAGTGTGTACATGTATAGAGTACGGTGTGTACATGTATAGAGTACAGTGTGTACATGTATAGAGTACGGTGTGTACATGTATAGAGTACGGTGTGTACATGTATAGAGTACGGTGTGTACATGTATAGAGTACAGTGTGTACATATATAGAGTACAGTGTGTACATGTATAGAGTACGGTGTGTACATGTGTAGAGTACAGTGTGTACATGTATAGAGTACAGTGTGTACATGTATTGAGTACAGTGTGTACATGTATAGCGTACGGTGTACTGCCAGGTGGACACAGGTGGCAGGGGGGGTGCGGGTTTAGTAAACTTGCACCGTTGGTTCAGCTGCCACGCAGGGAGATCGCAAGTCCAGTGAGCAGCGCACCCGCTCTTCGTATCGAAACGAGCAAATAACTGCATGGACAAAACGAATCAAAGTAAAATACGAGTTAAATTCATCTGAATTTTGCTGCATTGCTCCTATGTGTGGGCTAATAATCTCAATGTTAATAACATCTCGCCGTGGTGGCACGGAGAGGTTATCTCCCTTGCCTGGTACTCAAGGAGTTCGTGGGTTCGACCCTGGAACCTGACGATGCATGTTGTTGTATATTTGGAGTCTGCGTGTTATTTTTTTTCCACGTGGTGGTTCCGTGGATTTTTAGCCGGGTTCCTCCGGTTCTGTCACCTATACATTTAGAAACGTGTATTTAGACTATTTGGCCGCGACTATATATTCCCACCTGTGATGGTGATGATGTAAGCCACTTCGGTGAGCTATTGTGTGTTGGCCAGGTCGCCTCTGAAAAACATATCTCATAGCTTTAGTGGGCTCTACTTTGGTAAAATAGAATCGTTTTTAGTTACAGTTATACAAATATTTAATTATTATTTTACTCCAAAATTGTATTTAAGATGATCATCCTTCAACAAGAAGGTCCTCTTTGGGATGCTTGGCTTATTATTTTTTCTCATTATTATTATGTCGAGTATGTTAAAGCGTGTGAGATTAAACAAGTTCCTGGGGCAACATCCCGAGTGCTTGAGGGCGATGAACACTGAAGCCCTCCCTGCCCGCAGGGAGCTTCGTCTGCAGAAATCTGCCGCCTCTGCTGCCCCCTAAGGGCGGCTCTACTGCCCTGCAGCAGGCTGCTGCTTCACACGTGACAGCCTCACGCCTCTTGATCCACCGCGTGGCTGAGCATAGAAAATCATGAAAATAGTCCATTGATTTGGTGATATATAATGTTGCGTCAAAATAGGACCCCTGTATCTTTAAGAGGGGGCGTCCTTGCCTATGGACGTGGTAATTCACCGGCATTGGATTTGGACGAGCCTGACTGCTGATGAGACACCAAATGTGAATACCGGTCCAGAGTTTTGCCATTGCATTTAACCAATTGCTGATGAAAAGTATGCATTCCCAGAAGGCCTTGCGACTGATGGGATGTGTAAACAAATATTCAGTTTCATGTGGACGGACAGATGCGTGAAGGAGGCGTTAGGTGTTGCTTCTTAATTTTGTTCCCAACAGTAGTTTAATATCGACTTGCGAGTCCAGGAGCTATACCCTGGCTTGCCAGGAGAAGACAATACGGTAGAAATGTGGACTCCACCGCTTTAATCTGTATGGGATAGAGTGTTTCCCCCTCGCAAGCATGGGGTTTTTCTCCAGGCGCTCCGGTTTCACCCCCGCATGTATAAACACCCATTAACCCTTGCCCATTCGGAGACGTTTGCAAGTTGCAGGGCGTGGGTGTCCCGTTTACCGCTGAATCTTGGAACACGCGAGTGGCTCAGTTTTCATTTTATATTAGAGAGGCGTAGCGCTGCTGTGTTTTTTTTTCTTCTAAAGACATGGGACTCACCGCTCGAGAAACGTAGCCACATGACCGCCGCACTTTATGATAGCTGGCGCCAAACTGTGCCACACGCCCCTCCCGCATGCTCTCCCACTTCCGATTCCGTCCCGGCGACGGACAGCATACGAATTCACCGATGACGCCTTCATATATCGAGACCCGCAGATCTCGGGCAGTCGTTGGCATGGCTCACCGCGTGGCTGCCTTCCCCGCTTATCTGTGGTTCCCTCACGTGCGAGTCGTTCTCTGAGACAGTGAGCGACCACTGTGCCTGATGCACGTTTGAATGATTACAAAGGCGTGAGAAGATCGTGTGCTGTAAGCATCTGGCTAAAGCGATGCGCCATGAGTTTGTGAAGCGCTAAATGTCCATGCCCTAATGGTTGTGGGATCGAAGAAGCCGATCAGTAAAGGGTGTTTGTGAGTGTACAATCTTGGTCAGAGTGCAGGTTTGAAAAGTTTGGAGTTATTTTCCGTCTTTAAATAAGATGCAAAATAAATAATACGGGCCCCAATATAGAGCCGTGTGGGATCGCAGTGAAACATTTCCACTTCGTACGTAGTATCCCACCTGAGTACACAAGCAGAACATCTGTCTAAACATTTGATAATCATTGAGCGCCACTGTGGAAAACATAAGTAACAAAATAAGCAGACATTACACCTCTTTCCCGTATTTATCTCTTGGCATAAAAAAATATATATATATTTTTTTACATCCCATCAGCTGCACAGACTTCTGGGAGTGCATTTTGTAAGCAGCATAGATTTACGACGAGCAAACTCTGGGCCAGCTTTGATACTCATTGTCTCATCAGCGAAGTCAAAAATTGCTCAAATCGATGCTGGTGACCTGCAAGATTTTTCGATTTAAAGCTTTCGTGACTGCAAGGATTCATCTTCTTTGGTTCTTTCGGTAAAGTCACGTAGAATGAGAATAAAATAATAAATTGATAAAATAAAATAACACAATAAAATACTCACGACGTTTCGGCCACAACACAAGCGGCCTTCATCAGGTGAAGGGACGAGACTGTCTGGAGGACAGCGCTGGAGCGAACACAGCCAAGCTCAGCTTCTCACACAGTTTAAAGGTCGCGGTCTGAGCTTGGCTGTGTTCGCTCCAGCGCTGTCCTCCAGACAGTCTCGTCCCTTCACCTGATGAAGGCCGCTTGTGTTGTGGCCAAAACGTCGTAAGAATTTTATTGTGTTATTTTATTTTATCAATTTATTATTTTATTCTCATTCTACGTGACTTTACCGAAAGAACCAAAGAAGACCTGCCAGATGTTTAAAGGAAGGCCATGTTGTGCTAGAAATGGGTCTGAGTCTAATGCAATCCTATATGAAACTTAATACAATATAAATTTCGCGTCGAACTAGTTAGTACCCCCCCACTTAGGTCGATTTTTTTCCCCCCAATAAAATAATCGTGCAGCATACGTGGGAACCTCTGAACACGCATTCATCACCGCATCCTCATCGGAAACCGCATCGAACCACGTGAAATGATTTGCTTGCCACTTAATTTGATTGATGTAACGGAATGATTATACGGTGCGATTAGCGGAGGCCGGAAAAAACAACCACGAGCAGGTCAGAGAGGTAGTCGCCTGCCGTGACGACGAGCGCGCTGACGTCAGCGCGATCTCGCTGACGTCAGCGCGATCTCGCTGACGTCAGCGCGCTCTCGCTGGACGGCACGTTGGGATTGCCGAGCGCCTCGCGACGGCGGGTGTGACGTCACGCGCCCGGTCGGCCAATGAGAGCGCGCGCGCGTGCGTTCATGGGTGTTTGCTTACCGCACTTGCCCCAAAAGTTTGCTGAGGCTATATGGTGGATTTTTTAAACTATTTTTTTATTTTATTTTACCAGGTAAAGCCCACTGAGCTATACAGCTCTTCTTTCAGAAACGACCAGGCCACAAATGACAGCCCAACAAAGTGGCTCATCACGTGGCGGGAAAAAGCCAGAGGTGCCCCGACAAAAAATCCACGTGACCACGGGGAGAATATGCAAATTCAAAACATACAGGTGTCGTCAGGGTTGGAATCGAACCCACGACCTCCTGCATACCAGGCGAGGTAGTTAACACCTCGCCCGCCGTGTCTTGTTGTCTTCCAGGGGGGCGACAAGGAAGGCAACGTCGCTCATGCAACAGCAACTGTGCAGCCTTCCCTTGCAGCAGACAAGCTGCCCGGTCCCGGCCCCTCGGTGCAGCCCAGGGGCCCCGGCGAGGACGCGGCCCCTCAAACCGCCGCTCGCATGGGAGGCCCCGCTCGGGGTTCCGCAGATGGCGGCGGCGGCGGCGGCGGCCCCGGCTCCGTGGCCGCGGGGAGCGCCCGCGAGACGGCCGCCCAGGGCGCCAAGCAGCTGACGGCCGACCCGTCCGCGCCGGGGAACCTGAAGCCGCCCAGCAGCCCCCGGCAGCACAAGCCCCTGCTCAAGAGCAATTCCGTTACCTTCAAGTTCCCCGAGAGCTCGGCATCGTCCCCGAACGGAGACTCGCAAGCCACCAACGGGCTAAATGACGGCCCGTTGCTGTCCATCAAGCAGCACAAGCTGATCAAACTCAGAGAGGTAATGGTTTCCGAATCGTCATCCACCGCTTGGTTGAGCAAGTCTCGTGAAGCCGGGTGATGCTGATTTTTTGTATTGAAAGTATGTGAAAGCGCTGACAGAATATCTCTAATGTAAGTATAGCCAGCCATGCTAATCGGAGATGTGGGGGTGGCGAAGGGCAACAAACTAAACACAATAAGTAGTTCTAAACAAATTAGTTTTTAATATAGCTCCAGTGGCTTCCTAATATTGGAAGGAAGAGTGTTCCAGACGGCCATAGGAGCGCATCTGAAAGCACGTGATGCGGTTACTATCTTTGTTTGATGACTAGCCAAATTCTGAAGAAGGGAAGAGTCAAGCGAATCTTTGTTTTCTCTCTGGATTATTGAGTAGACTAGCTCGCACCCGATGACAGTATTCCAATTAATTATTTCAATCTTTACTTTAGTCTAGAAATGTTTTACTTTTACAGCAGCAAGGAGATGATTTACAGTGAGGGAAAAAAGTATTTGATCCCCTGCTGATTTTGTACGTTTGCCCACTGACAAAGAAATCATCAGTCTATAATTTTAATGGTAGGTTTATTTAAACAGTGAGAGACAGAATAACAACAACAAAATCCAGAAAAACGCATGTCAAAAATGTTATAAATTTATTTGCATTTTAATGAGGGAAATAAGTATTTGAGCCCTCTGCAAAACATGACTTAGTACTTGGTAGCAAAAGCCTTGTTGGCAATCACAGAGGTCAGACGTTTCTTGTAGTTGGCCACCAGGTTTGCACACATCTCAGGAGGGATTTTGTCCCACTCCTCTTTGCAGATCTTCTCCAAGTCATTAAGGTTTCTAGGCTGACGTTTGGCAACTCGAACCTTCAGCTCCTTCCACAGATTTTCTATGGGATTAAGGTCTGGAGACTGGCTAGGCCACTCCAGGTCCTTAATGTGCTTCTTCTTGAGCCACTCCTTTGTTGCCTTGGCCGTGTGTCTTGGGTCATTGTCATGCTGGAATACCCATCCACGACCCATTTTCAATGCCCTGGCTGAGGGAAGGAGGTTCTCACCCAAGATTTGATGGTACATGAAAAAGGCAATCTATGAAAATAAAAAAATGCAATGAATTCCCTGTCTGTCATGAGTAGGAAAAGGATGAGAATAGAAATCGAAGAACACGGAACATGGCAAGATGTCACAAACCAGCAATGGGAGCACGTCTGCAGCGGACAGCAGGATGACGAGTGGTAATCCACAGACGATAGTGCTTAGAGAGCAGGATGATGAGCGGTAATCCACAGACGATAGTGCTTAGAGAGCAGGGTGATGAGTGGTAATCCACAGACGATAGTGCTTAGAGAGCAGGGTGATGAGTGGTAATCCACAAACGATAGAGCTCAGAGTTCTGGGTGATGAGCGGTAATCCACAGACGATAGTGCTCGGAGAGCAGGGTGATGAGTGGTAATCCACAGACGATAGTGCTTAGAGATCATGGTGATGAGTGGTAATCCACAGACGATAGTGCTCAGAGAGCAGGGTGATGAGTGGTAATCCACAGACGATAGTGCTCAGAGATCATGGTGATGAGCGGTAATCCACAGACGATAGTGCTCGGAGAGCAGGGTGATGATTGGTAATCCACAGACGATAATGCTCAGAGATCAGGGTGATGAGCGGTAATCCACAAACGATAATGCTTAGAGAGCAGGGTGATGAGTGGTAATCCACAGACGATAGTGCTTAGAGATCATGGTGATGAGCGGTAATCCACAGACGATAGTGCTTAGAGAGCAGGGTGATGAGTGGTAATCCACAAACGATAATGCTTAGAGAGCAGGGTGATGAGTGGTAATCCACAGACGATAATGCTCAGAGAGCAGGATGATGAGCGGTAATCCACAGACGATAGTGCTTATAGATCAGGGTGATGAGTGGTAATCCACAGACGATAGTGCTTAGAGAGCAGGGTGATGAGTGGTAATCCACAGACGATAGAGCTCAGAGATCAGGGTGATGAGTGGTAATCCACAGACGATAGTGCTTAGAGATCATAGTGATGAGCGGTAATCCACAGACGATAGTGCTTAGAGATCATGGTGATGAGCGGTAATCCACAGACGATAGTGCTTAGAGATCATGGTGATGAGCGGTAATCCACAGACGATAGTGCTTAGAGATCAGGGTGATGAGCGGTAATCCACAGACGATAGTGCTCAGAGAGCAGGGTGATGAGTGGTAATCCACAAACGATAGAGCTCAGAGATCAGGGTGATGAGCGGTAATCCACAGACGATAGTGCTTAGAGATCAGGGTGATGAGTGGTAATCCACAGACGATAGAGCTCAGAGATCAGGGTGATGAGTGGTAATCCACAGACGATAGTGCTCGGAGAGCAGGGTGGAAACACGACACGTGACTGAATCACAACATCAATGGAGTCGCTTTCCCACTGCACTGCTGGCGGAAGGCCCTCCACTCAAGGGGGCTCCGGAGAGCTGTGGAGCCCCTCTAGCGTCTAGAGCAGGGGTCGGCAACCTTTCAACGAAGAGCCATTGTTTTTGTCTTTGATAAAAATTGTTCGAGAGCCTCATCACGCGCAGAGCTACTTGTACACAAGCACAGCAGCTGGTATACAGCAGATGACAATAACAACAGCACATTCTGACTTAAACGGAATAGGTGATGAAATAAACTGCGTCCCTTTAGCGATATTTTTGCGATTTTTTACATTTTGTTGTCACTTAGACCATCGTGAACCGTTCCCTGTCATGTTTAATAATTTTGGTAATTATCTTTGCGTGAAGATTAACGTCTCTTTTCTAACAAAAAAACGGCTGCCCGCAATAGGGGCAGCCGAAGAGCCATCACATGCGGCTCTGGAGCTGCAAGTTTGCCGACCCCTAGTCTAGAGGGTATTTTGGTCTACTCTTCAACGCTAGCAAGTACATCTTTGAAGAGGTGGGAGTTCCCACACTTGATGCCACCTTATGCGACGTGCCAATCGAATGACTGTGGCGTACTCACGTATGCTTTTGGGTGGTGGGAGGATTTAATAAACTTGCCCCAATGTTACAGCTGCCGCACCGGAACATCGGACCGGCAGCCTCTGGATCGCAAGTCCAGCGTGGCAGCATCTTTAATTTGGTCACTGCAATAATTTAACTGAGGCAAGCAGAGTAATTGCTCCTCCTTATAATTGGAAACCCGAGAGATATTCACCGCGTAACAAATGCCACCGTGATGTCTCTGTTTGCTCTGGGCAGGGAAAGAAGCAAAACTGGTGCAGGACGGTGGGTGACCAGAAGATGCCCGAGCTGGCCGAGGCTGCCGAGAGAAAGAGCGACACCGAGGACGACAATGGTACGAGCACACATTCAGGGACACACTGTGGCGGTGGTGGTGGTGGAGAGTGGCGGTATGGTGGTTAAAGCACTGCGCTATAAACCAGACCACCTGAGTTCAGTTCCCAGTCACGGTGTGAGTCTGAGGCTCAAGCGTTATTTAACTAAACTTTTTTTTATTTCACCAGGTAAGGCCCATTGAGCTGTATAGCTCTTTTTCAGAATCTACCTGGTCACAAATGATAGCTCAGAGAAGTGGCTTATCACGTGGAGATTTATGGCAGCCAAATACTCGTAGGTGTGTTACGCTACAGGAAGGGGATATACTAGCATGGCGTGGAGCGGTGGCACAGTGGTTAGCACGTTGCATTCCGAACCCTGTGACTTGATTTCAATTCCTAGCAACGGTTATTGTTGGTGAAAAGTGATTTCTGAACTATTTCTGGTCCTTTCACTAATCCACACTCACCAACATGGTGAAGTATGGTAAGACAACCCCCATGACAACCCCTTGATCCGGTGGTGGTAATTCCACCTTTCTACCGCAAAGACCAGTTTAACCATTGAACACCAGCTTAGCTGTGCATTGCCGTTTGTCCCTCTTGCCTGTGAGTCAGAAGGTGAAGTCGTGGAAGCAAGCAAGGATGCCCAGAAGCCTCCGGCCAAGCCAGTTGTGTCAGACAAGCTCCTTCACAGCCTGCAGCTCCACCGCTCTCAAGCCTCCAGGTACAGCGGCCTTGCATTGGGCCTGTATCTGGGCTTACAAGCCTTCAGGTAAAGCGGCCTTGCATTGGGCCTGTATCTGGGCTTACAAGCCTCCCACATCACAGTGGCCTTGCATTGGGCCTTTATCTGGGCTTACAAGCCTCCAGGTACAGCGGCCTTGCATTGGGCCTGTATCTGGGCTTACAAGCCTCCCACATCACAGTGGCCTTGCATTGGGCCTTTATCTGGGCTTACAAGCCTCCAGGTACAGCGGCCTTGCATTGGGCCTTTATCTGGGCTTACAAGCCTCCCATATACAGCGGCCTTGCGTTTGGCCTGTATCTGAGCTCAGAGGCCTCCCACATACAGTGGCCTTGCATTGGCCCTTTATCTGGGCTTACAGGCCTCCAGGTACAGCGGCCTTGCATTGGGCCTTTATCTGGGCTTACAAGCCTCCCATATACAGCGGCCTTGCATTTAGCCTGTATCTGAGCTCAGAGGCCTCCCACATACAGTGGCCTGGCATTGGCCCTTTATCTGGGCTTACAGGCCTCCAGGTAGAGCAGCCTTGCATTGAGCCTGTATCTAAGCTTACAGGCCTCCAGTTATAGTATTGCATGAGGCCTGGTCATTAACTCACAATTCTGGTTGCCAGCTGTGACTCAATGTGGCTTGAATGGGTAGAGGATATTTTTTACCGTATAACTGTTCTTTGTTGTTATATGTCTCCCTGATTTCTCTTTAGACCTTCCCTCAGTGAACAAGAAGTCGAGGTAAGATTTAATTGCAGTTCGTGGCCCAGCAACTGCTCAGCAACTGTGTGTAGAAAAAGTTTCCACACAGACCACTCATTGTAACTGTTACATTTTAAACGAATACTACAATATAAACTGTCGCGTAATATTTTGGTGTTTAATTGTCTTTGGGCTTTCAAAAACACAAATCACGCAGAAGCTTGATATGAGCACACCTGACACAAGCATAGTTTTTTTCACGACGGAGACGCGCATTCGTTACACTCGCAGGTGGAAGGCAAAGGGCAACTTCTGACACAAGCAGCACACTGCTGCGGATACAATCACACCTGGACCTGCTGTGCTTACATGCAGCTTCTGTTGGCATGGAACTACCGTCATTCGTGGCATTTGTGCCATGTAAATTGCCCCATCCCCAGCGTTACCCCAATCGTGCTTTTGTAGCATCGTTTTTGTACATTGAGTTTTTCGCGTGCGTGCGTGGCAGACGGCGTTCGTGCGCCTCTCCCTGGCGTTCCGCAACGACATGTTCTCGCTGGAGAAGCGCCTGCGCCTGGAGGAGCGTGCGAGGAACCTCGCCGAGGAGAACGTCTCTCGCGAGATCGACGCCGTCTCCAGCACAGTGCAGGCACGGCACTCGCTAACTCGCTCACGGGTCGGGGGGGGGGGGTCTGTGTCACTCACTCAAGGGGGGGGGGGGGGGTCTGCGTCAGTCGTCCAAGGTTAACCTGTTGTCTTGGTTATATAAAAGTGCCAATGATTGACACTTCCTCCATTTTCAAAGCACTCCCTGCTCCTCGCACGCACTGCATCGCAAGCACACAAGCACTGTAACGCATTCACACCGGAAGTGTAGAATGATTGGGAGCAGCTCTGCACGCGGCCATTCAGTACGCTTGCTCACACCCGCATCACCTTCTGCGCCACTCATGCCTGCCCTCCTGAGTGAGAGACGCGTATCACCAAAACGATTCGTCCAGTGTTCCTGTACATGTCAGAATTGACGACCAAGACGATAATAATTGGCTCGTTAAATTGCTTGTACAAGTGAGACAATTCTATTTCTTCGGGCCTTGTTGTGTGATGGAGGGTCTTCACGCCACATATTTTGCCCCCCAAAATGTACATGAAGCATGTACCTTTAATGAGTTTATATTGACATATTGGCCATACACATGAACAATGATACTTTCACGTGTGAACTCCATGGTGTAATAACATAATTATTCTACGCGCAAATACAAAGAAAGTATTCTTGCCGCTGCCGCATTGGCACTGGTGCCACGGACACAGATAACAAGAAACTCGTGGCCTTAAAATTAAAAATAATATATATATACTAGGTGAAGGTTTCAGCCAATGGCCCATGTGCTATGAAGAAGGGCCATTGCCCAAAACGTCGCCTACTAGAGATATTTTTCCATTGCCAATTGAGTTTTTTTGTCACCTGCAAATCTGCTATTAGAGGGCCCTGTCTGCCTGCAGTAGTTTAAACTTAAAAACGACTTCTTCTACTTTTATTTTACCAGGTAAGGCCCACTGAGCTGTGTAGTTCTTTGTCAGAAGCGACCTGGCCACAAATGACAGTTCCACGAAGTGGCTTGCCACGTGCAAATGCATAGGAGCCAAGTATGGGAAAAACCGAAGGACCCGGAAAAAAATCCACGCGATTACGGGGAGAGAAAGAAACGCAAACTCCAAATATACAGGCGTCAGGGTCGGGGTTGAACCCACGAACCTCCTGCAGACTAGGCAAGGGAGTTAACATCTCATAGCCACCGTGGTGCACCGCTGTTGCTGTGCAGCCAACGATGTCAACGGCACGCTCGGACGTTTCCATTTGCTCTGCTGATTGATTTATCTGATGATCTTCGCTGCCGCCGCAGACGTTCGCGCCGCTGTGCCAGGACTCCCAGACGCGGGACACGTACCAGCAGCTGCAGCAGAACCTGCAGGTGCTTCGCAAGGCCACAATGAGGGCCTCCAGCTGCTCGGAGAAGCTGGGAGCCGTGAACCAGGTGAGCGCCACCTCCAGAGCCGTTCGTCTGCGCCTCAGATCTGAGGCCACCACAGATCGAACTTTTTTATTTTATTTTACCAGGTAAGGCCTACTGAGCTGTATAGCTCATTTTCAGAAGCCACCTGGCCACTCATGATAGCTCAACGAAGTGGCTTATTGTGCGGACATTTATAGCAGTTTCTACATTTGTATATTGGGAGGGAAAAACCGGAGGAGAGACACAAAAAACTCTAAATATGCAGGCGTCAGGGTCGGGATCGCCCTGGCCGACTGAAGAATACTCTCTTGCGTGAGCCTTCACCTTTGCCGAAGGCTCATCCCATCTAAAAAAATGATTAAAACTTTGATTGACATTGTCTGGGCCGTGCCCTTCCCCCCCCTAAATTCGTGTGTGCCCCCTTTATACGAGGTGATATCGCAAGCGTTCCCGAGAGTGAATCAAGACGTGAGTTTCGTCTCAGCCGTGCAGTGTTTAGTCTCTGTGGCCGCCCCTCAGCTCCGCCCCGCAGTGTGGTGGCGGTTGACCTCGGCGCGTTGCTGCTGGGTCGTAGGAGGGGCGGCTGTGCCGGGCCATGGAGGTGATGGTGCAGCACGTGGAGAACCTGAAGCGGCTGTACGCGCGCGAGCACGCCGAGCTGGAGGACGTGCGCAAGCTGCTGCAGCACAACTCTCGCTCCATGCACAGTGGCTCCGGGGACAGCAGTGGTACACACAGACTCACCATTGTCTCTATAGAGCAGTGGTACACACAGCCTCACCATTGTCTCTATAGAGCACTGGTACACACAGACTCACCATTGTCTCTTAGACAGTAGTGGTACACACAGACTCACCATTGTCTCTATAGAGCAGTGGTACACACAGCCTCACCATTGTCTCTATAGAGCAGTGGTACACACAGACTCACCATTGTCTCTTAGACAACAGTGGTACACCCTGACTCACCATTGTCTCTAGACAACAGTGGTACACACAGACTCACCATTGTCTCTAAAGAGCAGTGGTACACACAGCCTCACCATTGTCTCTTAGACAGCAGTGGTACACACTGACTCACCATTGTCTCTAGACAACAGTGGTACACACAGACTCACCATTGTCTCTATAGAGCAGTGGTACACACAGCCTCACCATTGTCTCTAGACAACAGTGGTACACACTGACTCACCATTGTCTCTAGAGAGCAGTGGTACACACAGACTCACCATTGTCTCTAGACAGCAGTGGTACACACAGACTCACCATTGTCTCTAGACAACAGTGGTACACACAGACTCACCATTGTCTCTAGACAACAGTGGTACACACAGACTCACCATTGTCTCTTAGACAACAGTGGTACACACAGACTCACCATTGTCTCTAGACAACAGTGGTACACACAGTCTCACCATTGTCTCTAGACAACAGTGGTACACACAGACTCACCATTGTCTCTAGACAGTAGTGGTACACACAGCCTCACCATTGTCTCTAGACAACAGTGATACACACAGACTCACCATTGTCTCTAGACAACAGTGGTACACACAGACTCACCATTGTCTCTAGACAGCAGTGGTACACACAGACTCACCATTGTCTCTAGACAACAGTGGTACACACAGACTCACCATTGTCTCTAGACAACAGTGGTACACACAGACTCACCATTGTCTCTTAGACAACAGTGGTACACACAGACTCACCATTGTCTCTAGACAACAGTGGTACACACAGCCTCACCATTGTCTCTAGACAACAGTGGTACACACAGACTCACCATTGTCTCTAGACAGTAGTGGTACACACAGCCTCACCATTGTCTCTAGACAACAGTGATACACACAGACTCACCATTGTCTCTAGACAACAGTGGTACACACAGACTCACCATTGTCTCTAGACAACAGTGATACACACAGACTCACCATTGTCTCTTAGACAGTAGTGGTACACACAGACTCACCATTGTTTCTAGACAGCAGTGGTACACACAGACTCACCATTGTCTCTTAGACAGCAGTGGTACACACAGCCTCACCATTGTCTCTAGAGAACAGTGGTACACACAGACTCACCATTGTCTCTTAGACAGCAGTGGTACACACAGACTCACCATTGTCTCTAGAGAGCAGTGGTACACACAGACTCACCATTGTCTCTAGACAGTAGTGGTACACACATACTCACCATTGTCTCTAGACAGCAGTGGTGCACACAGACTCACCATTGTATCTAGACAACAGTGGTACACACACACTCACCATTGTCTCTTAGACAGTGGTACACACAGACTCACCATTGTCTCTTAGACAACAGTGGTACACACAGACTCGCCATTGTTTCTAGAAAACAGAGGTACACACAGACTCACCATTGTCTCTTAGACAGCAGTGGTACACACAGACTCATCATTGTCTCTAGAGAGCAGTGGTACACACAGACTCACCATTGTCTCTAGACAACAGTGGTAAACACAGACTCACCATTGTCTCTGGGCAGCAGTGGTACACACAGACTTACCATTGTCTCTTAGACAACAGTGGTACACACAGACTCACCATTGTCTCTTAGACAACAGTGGTACACACAGCCTCACCATTGTCTCTAGAGAGCAGTGGTACACACAGACTCACCATTGTCTCTATAGAGCAGTGGTACACACAGACTCACCATTGTCTCTTAGACAACAGTGGTACACACTGACTCACCATTGTCTCTAGAGAGCAGTGGTACACACAGACTCACCATTGTCTCTAGACAGCAGTGGTACACACAGACTCACCATTGTCTCTAGACAACAGTGGTACACACAGACTCACCATTGTCTCTAGACAACAGTGGTACACACAGACTCACCATTGTCTCTTAGACAACAGTGGTACACACAGACTCACCATTGTCTCTAGACAACAGTGGTACACACAGCCTCACCATTGTCTCTAGACAACAGTGGTACACACAGACTCACCATTGTCTCTAGACAGTAGTGGTACACACAGCCTCACCATTGTCTCTAGACAACAGTGATACACACAGACTCACCATTGTCTCTAGACAACAGTGGTACATACAGACTCACCATTGTCTCTAGACAACAGTGATACACACAGACTCACCATTGTCTCTTAGACAGTAGTGGTACACACAGACTCACCATTGTTTCTAGACAGCAGTGGTACACACAGACTCACCATTGTCTCTTAGACAGCAGTGGTACACACAGCCTCACCATTGTCTCTAGAGAACAGTGGTACACACAGACTCACCATTGTCTCTTAGACAGCAGTGGTACACACAGACTCACCATTGTCTCTAAAGAGCAGTGGTACACACAGACTCACCATTGTCTCTAGACAGTAGTGGTACACACAGACTCACCATTGTCTCTAGACAGCAGTGGTACACACAGACTCACCATTGTATCTAGACAACAGTGGTGCAGACAGACTCACCATTGTCTCTTAGACAGTGGTACACACAGACTCATCATTGTCTCTTAGACAACAGTGGTACACACAGACTCGCCATTGTTTCTAGACAACAGAGGTACACACATACTCACCATTGTCTCTAGACAGTAGTGGTACACACAGACTCACCATTGTCTCTTAGACAGCAGTGGTACACACAAACTCACCATTGTCTCTAGAGAGCAGTGGTACACACAGACTCACCATTGTCTCTTAGACAGCAGTGGTACACACAAACTCACCATTGTCTCTAGAGAGCAGTGGTACACACAGACTCACCATTGTCTCTTAGACAGCAGTGGTACACACAGACTCACCATTGTCTCTAGACAACAGTGGTACACACAGACTCACCATTGTCTCTTAGACAGTGGTACACACAGACTCACCATTGTCTCTTAGACAGCAGTGGTACACACAGACTCACCATTGTCTCTTAGACAACAGTGGTACACACAGACTCACCATTGTCTCTAGAGAACAGTGGTACACACAGACTCACCATTGTCTCTAGACAACAGTGGTACACACAGACTCACAATTGTCTCTAGTCAACAGTGGTACACACAGACTCACCATTGTCTCTAGACAGCAGTGGTACACACAGACTCACCATTGTCTCTTAGACAACAGTGGTACACACATACTCACCATTGTCTCTTAGACAGCAGTGGTACACACAGACTCACCATTGTTTCTAGACAATAGTGGTACACACAGACTCGCCATTGTCTCTTAGACAGCAGTGGTACACACAGACTCACCAATGTCTCTTAGACAGTGGTACACACAGCCTCACCATTGTCTCTATAGAGCAGTGGTACACACAGACTCACCATTGTCTCTTACACAACAGTGGTACACACAGACTCACCATTTTCTCTATAGAGCAGTGGTACACACAAACTCACCATTGTCTCTTAGACAACAGTGGTACACACAGACTCACCATTGTCTCTAGACAGCAGTGGTACACACAGACTCACCATTGTCTCTTAGACAGCAGTGGTACACACAGACTCACCATTGTCTCTTAGACAACAGTGGTACACACAGACTCACCATTGTCTCTAGAGAACAGTGGTACACACAGACTCACCATTGTCTCTAGACAACAGTGGTACACACAGACTCACCATTGTCTCTAGACAGCAGTGGTACACACAGACTCACCATTGTCTCTTAGACAACAGTGGTACACACATACTCACCATTGTCTCTTAGACAGCAGTGGTACACACAGACTCACCATTGTTTCTAGACAATAGTGGTACACACAGACTCGCCATTGTCTCTTAGACAGCAGTGGTACACACAGACTCACCAATGTCTCTTAGACAGTGGTACACACAGCCTCACCATTGTCTCTATAGAGCAGTGGTACACACAGACTCACCATTGTCTCTAGACAACAGTGGTACACACAGACTCACCATTGTCTCTTAGACAACAGTGGTACACACAGACTCACCATTGTCTCTTACACAACAGTGGTACACACAGACTCACTATTTTCTCTATAGAGCAGTGGTACACACAAACTCACCATTGTCTCTTAGACAACAGTGGTACACACAGACTCACCATTGTCTCTAGACAGCAGTGGTACACACAGACTCACCATAGTATCTAGACAACAGTGGTACACACAGACTCACCATTGTCTCTTAGACAACAGTGGTACACACAGACTCACCATTGTCTCTAGACAGCAGTGGTACACACAGACTCACCATAGTATCTAGACAACAGTGGTACACACAGACTCACCATTGTCTCTACACAGTAGTGGTACACACAGACTCACCATTGTCTCTTAGACAACAGTGGTACACACAGACTCACCATTGTCTCTAGACAGAAGTGGTACACACAGACTCACCATTGTCTCTACACAGTAGTGGTACACACAGACTCACCATTGTCTCTTAGACAAGAGTGGTACACACAGACTCACCATTGTCTCTTAGACAATGGTGAGGGCAATTCAGAACACAACGTAAAGTGGCTTAATGCGATTTGTCGCCTGCGTGTGTCTCAGACGAGGGCATGGCTCGTGGGAACCGCTCCATGTCTATCATCGGATCGCTCGGCAAGGTAAAGAACCTCAAGGGAACGTCGTTAGCTCGCGATTGTCCCTCGAATCCACAGCGGCGTTTGCATTCGTGAGCGCAGTCGGTGACGAAGATATTTGCCAGCGGAGATTTTTGTCACCATAATTTTTTGTCAAAATAGATGGAGATCACTAAGTCTTACATCGGTTGCGACTTCCCACGAAAGCCCTCCGCTTGGCTGTGATGAGGCGAATGTAACGAGTCTGTACGTAGAAGATTTAGTTGATCTCGTGGCTGAGCTGATAATGATGGGGGGGAGGGGGAGTGAGAGATTGCATGCCCCTCACACCAACATTTCATAGCCAAAGAGTGACCTCTGTTTTTGGCTGCTTCAGGCGACTACGTAGTGTATGTATGTTGAACTTTCGCACCGTACGTAGCCAACCATGCTAATCGGAGGTGCGGGAGTTAACAAATGTATCGTTGATTTTTTTTTACGACTTGCAGCCGACTGCTCGCCGAAGGGTCAGCGTCTCCGTCATCCCAAAGTTCTTTAACTTCCCCAGTGGAGGAGGCAACCAACTGGCCAGTTCCTCCGGCGCACAACCCATCTTGGTGAGTTCCACCCTCTGGGCTCACGCGCAAACTCCTATGGACGACGATCCTCTCAAGGCATGAAACTATACTTTTTTTTACTTACCAGGTAAGGCCCACTGAGCTGTGTAGCTCTTTGTCACAAGCGACCTGGCCACCGATGATAGCTCGACAAAGTGGCTTATCACGTGCAAAATATATCGCAGCCAAGCACTCTTAAACGCCTGTTTTAAAAATTGTTGAGGGATAAACTGGAGGACCTGGAGAAAAATCCACGCGACCACGCAGATAAATATACATCAAGCGTCAGGGTCGGGATCAATCCCACAACCTCCTGTACAACAGGCGAGGTAGTTCACATCTCGCCACTGTGACAGTCGAAAGTTTATTTGTTTGACCAGGTGAGAACCTGAGAAACCGTGACAGTCACATTCGCAACGACAACAGCAAAACGAATCAAGTATAGTAATGCAGCAAATATAAATCAGTCCAAAAGTAACTGGGTTCATCTTCTTTGATGAAGGCCGTTTGTGTTGTGGCCGAAACGTCGTGAGAATATTATTGTGTTAATTTATTTTATCAATTTATTATTTTATTCTCATTCTACGTGACTTTACCGAAAGAACCAAAGAAGATGAATCCTTGCAGTCACGAAAGCTTTAAATCGAAAAGTAACTGGGCTATACGGGCCATCGCGAATGTTGCACAAATCTAAATGTGAAATGGTAACTTCCCGTAAGCGTTGTCCAGTTCGAGCAGATTATTTTTACACTGATCATAGCACAATCACAATTAAGTTAGAGAAGCGTTAATCAGCAATCGGGTGACTTAACGTACGAATATCCCAGCTCGAGTGTTGTTCAGGAAGGATGGTGAAATGGGTCCGTTGAACTAATTATTTGGTGATGCTGCTGCTGCTGCGTTGAAAGTGGTGCACAACAGAGCACTCAACACGTTCGTCAATAACGCTGTGGTCTTAAAATAAAAAAAAAATATCACGGGCGACATTTTGGGCATAGCACATAAATAGAGACCGGAGAGATGGGTTGGATAATTAGTGTTGGGCACTGCATTTACACTATGGGGCCTGATGAGAATTAAGTTAAACTGGTCATCATAAAACATCTTTAATTATAATTTCTATCAGGCCCCACGGTTTAAAGTGCAGTCTCCAACACTCTATCTGGCCTTTCTATTTATGTGCTATGAATCAAGTTCCATTACCTGATAGATGGCCTGTTACATACGCGTATGTATGTTGAACTTTTTTTTTCCACTGCACGTAGCCAACCGTACTAATTGGAGGTGCGGGGAAGGACAACAAACTAAACACAAAAAGCAGTTATACATTTATGTAACTTCCCATTAAGGCCGCATGTGTTATGGACGGATGCGTTGAGTTGTTCAGGTCTGTGTTAGGAGGGCAGCCTCTTTCTGTAATGTGTGAAAACATTGATGATTGCAATGCAGGCTCATTGTCCGGCACCCTCGTGAAATGTTTGTCCCGGGTTGGCTCTGGCTATCCTACGCGCACGCCGTTTTCACCACGTGGCTTTGCCTTCCTGAAACTGATGGGCAGGGGTTGCGCTCAGCTCATCTCCTCGTGCGGCTCCCAGGCTGTGGGATCCACTTCCAGCGGACCTTCGCTCCACTGCCTCCGCCCCCCCCCCCACCTCCCTTTATTCAAATCCCGCCTGAAGACGCCACTTATTTTTAAGGGGCTTTTTTATATTTTCCTTGCATCCTTTGTTTTGGGGTTGTATCTGATTTGATGTGAGCCTGCCTGCGTGCATGCGTGCGTTTTGTACAGTGCCTTGTGATCTCTGGGTGAAAGGCACTTTGTAAGTGTTAATTATTGTTCAATGATTTTATATATCTATATAAAACCCTGAGAGGTCATCATAATTGAACACGGGAAACGGGAGTACATTTCTCTGAAAATGATGCCCTAATTATGAAACACTGCCTTTACCATTCACAGCAGAAGCGTGCGTTACTAGCCAAGCGAAAACATCGTTGGCCCCTAACGAGTTGAATTTCACAAAAGCGTCGCCTGTCGCGTGTTTTGCCATCGCGGATTTGACCATTCGCACCAAATTTCTGTCGGTATAGTTCGCCGAATGTACTCGTGTGGCTTGACCATCCACGGTTGACTACGAGATTCCTGTATTTTATCGCCGAACGTACTCCTTTGGCTTGATCATCCACGGTTGACTACGAGATTCCTGTATCTATCGTAAAGAGGTACCGTACTCTCCACTGCACTGCTCGCGATGATGCTGCCACGGAAGAATACAGACGCCATTTTGTCTCCCCCAAGCAGCCCATCGCGGGTCTCAGTTCATGGATTCCCAGCGTCCAGCATTCCATAGATTTACTGTACAAGTTCCATTTGACACTACAGAACATTTGAATCACATTTTGGCCTTTAACGTGCTTCCTGTTTCACATTTGGGATAACGTCGGGTGACATAAAGCAAAAGGGGTGGGTATCGTATTACGAACCCATGAACCAAACCATATTTTTTCCCAGAATACCCTTTGAGTTTGCAGATCGCGGATTTGTCGACTGCGGCTCTTTCCAAGGACGTCATAACCAGACCCACGGTGGGCAAAGTCTGGGTGTGCGTTCTAATTGTTGGTGTCTGTGCTCTTCTCAGGAAGCGAGGATAAACGAGGTGAAAAATCAAGAAGCATCCATCATCGCTCCGGAGAAAATCATCCCGGCTTTCCTAGCCCCAAAGGAAACGAGCCAGCCCAGGTGCTTGACCTGCACACAAACACACGCCCACCAAGGAGAAGCATTTGCATGCACAGGGCACTTTCTTCAATTCCTATGAATCTCCAAGGCACCTTCGGTCTCATCTCAGCCGTTCCAATGCCTTGTGGCAGTCAAATCCAGGGGCCGGCAACCACAATAACGAGAAGAGTACATTTTTTTTTCGAATCCGGTCCAAAAAAAACCTCAATATTTTAATAGGCACAATGCACTGCGCGGTGAATACGAGACGGTGGTCCTTCATGAATGACGTCACGAAGCAGCAGTCCTTAAAGAGCCGCAGGTTGCCGACTCCCGGTCTAGTCAAAGAGACCCTCAGTGGCAGCTGCCCCTGCGTGGAACAAGGTGAATGGTTATTCCCAATTTGGTATTTTGAGAGTAAATTGATAAAATGTGGCTCATTTGGGCCATGACGCCGGCAGACACGGCCCATTGTTTTGTTCTAATATTGTCACGGGATGTTTGACATCCACTGTGCAACAGATGGTGCAAACTTAAGGTGAATTAATCCGCAGTATTAACCAGGGCGGCCGCTGGGCTCAAACTGGGAACCTCTGCAGTAAGTTGGCAATTGCACTGCCGCTCAGGCATTGTCGCATAGAGTGAGAAATCCGAGGCAATCGAGTGCAGGGGACTCCAATAACCGCACTTTAGCTGGGTCTCGATCAACGCCACCGAGAGATGCAGCGAGCATTCCAGGCGCTGCGCTCTGAGAGCGGGGCGACCCCCTCTCGAGGCTGCAACCCTGGCCCCAGGAGACTCAGAATGATGCCCTTTGGTGTAAACCTTAGAGGCTCCTGCATGGCCTCATACGAGACGTTTCATTACGCAGAGCGAACCAATAGCTCATCTTTCTCGTTGAGACCCATGGCTGCATGCTTGTTCTTCACAGCATGTAGGACCTGGGTTCAATTCCTGCCTCGGTATGCCTTTGTGCATGTGGTTTGTATGTTCTTCCCCTGTTCTGCACAAGTTTCCTCTGGAATCTCCGGTTCCTCTCATAGCTACAAACAAAAAATTACGATGTAACTGCCCCATGGACCAAATATCACAATGCTGAAAAAATGCCTGCATATCACTCAATTGGCATTACACATCGTAACATCAGCCCACTACTGTCAATCCGTGGCAGTATGTATGCTGAACGTCTTTCGCACCATACGTAGCCAACCGTGCTAATCTTCAGGAGGCAGAACGCTCCTGAATTAGAAATCTTGAGACTCAGGCTTTCCTGGATAAACAAGCAGAATACGTTTATAAGTAAATCGGTGAGTAGAGTGAAGTGTCTGTGCTGGCTGTGGATGTACGTGGGTGGGGAGCGGTAGCGAAGCAGTTAGCACGCTGCACTATGAACCCAGCGACCCGAGTTCAATTCCCGCTCACGGCCAACACCATTGAGGATTATCTGAACCGGCCCTAGGTCGACTCAGCCCTTAACGAGTACCTGGTGCGATGTGCAAAAACATCGCCACTGGGTAGATAAAGGTGGCCGGGTGGAGTGCTGGCCAGCCACCCCCGTCGTGTGGCGTAGCGTCCTTCATGGGTGCTCGCTTAACAGCACTTGCCCCAACAATCTGTTACGGGGGATCTGTGTCTTTGTGTCTTTGTGTCTTTGTTGCTGAACGCGGGGTGATGACCCGACGTTTGCCCTCTCCGTGCCCGCGCGCTATCGGATGGCAGCGGACGCATGCTCGTGGGACTGACACGGGCAGCACTGAAGGAGAGTCCTCCGCTCATCCCGCAAGGGGCTCAAGGCGTCAAGATCGTGGGTGCGAGGCCGCTCAACCCCTTGGCCCAGGAGAAAGTGGAGGAGGAGACCTTCGTCAGGAGTTGACTTCCCCCCCTTCCCCCACCCAGTCGCTGCCTTGTGTTGTCAGTGCCCATTGCTCTCGTCCTCAATGCTACACAGGCGTACAGACACACCACGTGATTTTGCCAAGTCCTGTTCAATTGCCATGACGGCTGGCTTATAAACGAGGCTATGTTTTGTTTGACCAGGTAAGGCCCCACTGAGCTACACGGCTATTTGTTCAGAAGCGATCGAGCTATCACAAATGATAGCTCCACGACGTGGCTTATCGTCACGTGGACGTTTATAGCAGCAGCAGCAGCAGCCCAATCCTCTCACCGCAGGTTGACTCTAAATGTGGAGGGAGAAACCGGAGGACCCGGAGAGAAATCCACGCGACGACGGGGAGCACACGCAGGCTCCAAATACGCAGCGGCAGGCGTCAGGGTCGGGATCGAACCCACGACCTCCTGCGTACCGGGCAATGTACTTAACATCTCGGCATTGTGCATTCGTGACAGCCTTAGACTTTTGCCACCACAAATGTATTGAAGCATTTCCCAGTATTCATCCTTTCTGCGGTTAGCAAAACTGGGTTAGGGTTTCTGCAAACGCATTTTATTTCTTGAGCACCACTCATGTAACGTTTAATAATATTGACCATTGTTACTGGCGATGGATATTGTGGCAGGTTTACAGCAATGTAACGGAGATCGAGGCACAGTCCTGAAATGGCTTGCTCACGTCACTGCTGGCAGAAAGACCTCCACGAAGAGGGAGCTCTCGTGAGGAGAGAGCCCCTCGCGAGGCTATTTAGGCCTACTCTTCCATGCTGGCCAGGATTTCTTAGGAATGGTGAAGGTGCCCACACCGCACCGGACACGACCTGCTGATCAAATAACTGGCGAACACGTCTATATTGTTGGTAACAAAGGTACATTTATACAAGGTTATTTCCAAAGATTTTCTGCGTTCGCGTTTTTACACTTAAAAGAGATTTATGCAGTGAAGTAATATAAATTATTCATAAGTTATACAACTTAACATATTCATCACTGTATTCTTAACGTGTGACCTCCTGCTTGAAATCATGTGCGAATGCATGCACACGTGTAAGCGTTGCACTGAACGCGCGTGTGTTTTTAATACGGCTTGTATTTTTTTTTCAACATCTATTTGCGCTGCCACAAGAGAGGGTCATTCGGTGAACTCCAGAGGGACATTGGCGGGTGTGCGCCCACAATCTTGCGAGGCTTCCCCGCGGCATCGCGCAAACGCTGGCACGGCGTACCAGCCTCCTGGTACCGACGGATGTAGACTCCGAACGAGTTTTGACGCGCGCACTCACGTGCATCCTCCTATCACCGACATGTTGGTCTGCAGCAGTGACCCCGGGTCACCTCGTGCGCGTGGACACTTGCACAGGCACATACCGTCGCATTCGCGCGAATGTACGTGAAGGACAAACTGGGTTTAGCGCGGGTTTGTAAATGCAAAGTGCTGTAGATGTTTGCGACTTGTCAAGGAAAATCTGTCCGGTACATTTGTGGATTTTGCATGGATATGCAAAGCGTGTGATTGTATAACAGTACAGATCTGTGGAATGTTGCGTGCATCTTTGAGGTAGTATGTATTAAATCCAGTTTGCTGATGGTTTCTGGGCTTGATCTGCAGACTCTGTCCGTTCTATTTCTGTGGAGTATCTTTGATTATTATGAGCAAAAGCCTTTTCCATACGAGTTTTTTTTTGGGTTAGATCTCGTAAATATGTCGTTAAACCCGCCACCACCCGACACAGCCAATTAATAAGGTTTGTCACGTAAACAGAACATGCCAATTCGTCACTAGTCTATTAATCCTCCCGTACTTCGCTCAAGAAAGGCTTACAACTGATGCCATCACATCTACCCCTCTAAGGAACGAAACAGGAGGATTTCTACACAAATCTGGCTGTCACCTGATGATGCTGGTTGTAATTATTGGCAAAACGTCGTACTCGAATTATAAATGTTGTGGATTTGCTTTCCAGCACATCGATGTGCTGTACAAGTAACGAATTGGCATGTTCTATTTACGTGACAAACCTTACTAATTGGCTGAGTCGGGTAGTGGCTGCTTTAACGACACATTTATATTTACATGATCTAACCCAAAAAAACGATTGGGGATAATATTGGTCACGAAAGCCTACGTGTTCAACTGAAAGCCTTTTTATTGGACTCATGACAGTAGGTAATATAATCCGACTGCTGTCATTCATTATAGATTTTTGTACGAATCGGTTGTGCGGGGGAAGGACAACAAACTAAACACAAAAAGCAAGTTCTAAAGAAATTACTTTTCAAACTAGATTTGAAAGTGAATTTTTCGGGGTTAGGCGACACAATCACCTGGCCACATTTGTGTCGGTAAGACCCTCCACCACCCGATAAACCTAAGCAAGATAGAACCGTTACTTGTCTAAGCAATGAACGCGCCAATTGTTTCAGCTCACGTGGTAAGTTGAAGAACGATTCTCAACAACCACAACATCGCAATTAGATTCAGTGTTTCACTTGTAACTGTGTCAAGCATCTTTATAAACACCCAATAAATTAGAAATGAATAACTATAAAGAGGTTAGATTTGGCACTGTTTAAATTCAGCATATGTGAAGACTAGTTGAATTTATATTACCCGGGCTGGCATTCCGAGGGTGTATTTTGCATTACGTATGTATGTTGAACTTCTTTCGCGCCGTACGTATCCAGCCGTGTTAATCGGAGTGCTTTCGTGTGTTCATGGCCAGAATGAATGCAATGCAATTCCGCATTGGAGTGTGCACGACTGTAATATGTACTTTGCAATGTACTGCAGGCCTGCAATGTATTCACTGCTGGGCGAAGGCCTCCTCCACGCGTCCGGCAGTCCACACGGTCTTGGGATGCCACAACCCGCAGCACTTCAGACTAGCGCGGTTGGGCTGCCTGTGCCAGGCCAGGTGCACTTTGAGGCCACGCGAAGTGTGACACGAGGTCTCGGGACAGACCCAGCAGGTGCCGTGGGTTGAATGACTGAGATGACCGGTAGATGCACCACCAGCTGAACCCCCCACCCCACCCACCACCCCACTGTGCCAACTTGCTGAATTTTAGCCGCCCGGCGCTCGTTGTGAGCGTCGCTCTCTCTGCCCTCCGTTGTTGCTGGAAGGCGACTGCCTCCAACTGCTTAGCCACGTCCCCTTCACGAGCCTCCCCTGCTATTGCGACCCCCCCCCCCACTTCCTCCCTTAAAAAACACACACACACACAAAACACGTTGTTTTGTGAATGGCACCGCGTGAACCAGCTGTGTTTACAGGGCCGCGGGGAGGGACCATTGTGTCCGCATAAACCCACCCCAAGCAACAATCACACGGCTGGGGATAATCGCCGTCCCTCGAAACGCACACTCGCTTACACCAGACACGGGGGGGGGGAGGAGTGGTGGGGGGGGTGTACCCGGGGGTCTGGGCACGAGCCCCTAAGTGTTGGGGGGGGGGGGGCAGCGGGGTCAAAGGTGGCCAGCCATGCGGTTGAAGGCACCCCAGCACGAGTTGTCTACGAGGGGCTATGAACGGCACGTGGCCCCATCAGCCCGGCTCGGCGTGGCGTGGGGGGCTCTAAAGGTCGCAGACTCGTGGGTGTACATTCACTTTATGTTGTTGTTGTTTGTAACGCTGCGTGGCCTGCGAGGAAGAGGTTGCCAGAGGGTGAAGGCTTCCCAAATTGACCCTTAATGAGATAACTACACCTGCTTCGGGGCTCTTCCAGATCAGGGGCGGAGCTAGGATTTCAGGCCGGGGTGACATTCAACAAATGTTAATTTCAAGAATGATTAAGAGAGAGTCAGGCTGTTGAACTAGACGCCATCGGTTGGCGACACACTCTGACAATGCAGTTGCACGGAGTCCGCCAGACCGAGTGTCGTACACTCACACGCAGAATGTCACCCCTGTCACCCCCCCCTGGCTCCGCCCCTGTTCCAGATCAACCGAATTGGAGACGAATATTTTTCTCCGGTAGTCTCTCGCCTCCAAAAACAATGCCGTGCGCTCTAAGTGACAAGTTTACGATGATTGACGCAGGTGAATGTTTTCTCTCGAAAAAACATGGTAAATAGTAAGTAAGTAGTATCATGAACAGGACACAATTTTAATGGGAAAACACGTAGACTCACGTAAACCGGTGCATCAAATTTGAGCGTCATTAGCCTCATCTCCAGATGAGGCGGGTTTCATGTTCTCCAAGATGTTTCATTTGCAATTTTTTATTTATTTTGTGAGTGCGTTTCGTGCACCTCCGACGAGTTTTACAAGAGTCGATGATACTCGAAGTGAGTTCTTTTGGAATATCTGGAGCATGGCCACATTTCCTCAGCTCGCTTTAGTTATTGGTGGTCTACCGTGGAAGATATGGCCCCTCGTTTAGTTCTTTTTGAGCTGGTGGTCTGGCTACGGCTTTTGTGAATAACTGTACATGCTGGAGGGTTATCTACATAGCAGGAGGGCAAATAGTAACTCTCCAGGTGTATATTGTCTTTACACAATCTAAATAATGTCATCGTTGAGATGTTATTTTTAATACCCAAATCAAATACGGAACCGATTCACGTCTTGGTGATGGGCTCTTTCAAGGTTCTGTGTCCAAGGCTAGATCCATGGCTCAACAATCTACGATGGGGATGGAGGGATGCCAATTATATATCATCATGATGCAGGAGTGCAGAAAAATACTGTCATGGACCAAGCAAGCATGCTTTCAGACGTTGTCATTATCGCCACTGCTTCTGCAGTCGTGATGGTAGTAAGAGCAACTGATAAGGGTGGTAGCAGATGTTAACTACCTCGCCTGGTATACAGGAGGTCGTGGATTCAATCCCAACCCTAGCGCGTGCTGTATATTTGGAGTTTGCCTGTCTCTCTCTCTCTCTCCCTGTAGTCGCGTGGACTTTTCTCTGGGTCCTCCGATTTTTGCCTCCACATTTCGAAGCACGCGTTTAGAGTCTTTGGCTGCTATACATTTCCACTCGAGAAGCCACTTGGTTGAGCTATCATTTATTGGCAGGTCGCAAGCTCCTAAATATACAGAATGCGTCAGCAATGGGAATCAAACCCACGGACCTCCTGTCTACCAGGCGAAGGAGATAAGATCACGCCACCGATTGAGCAGTACATTATTATTGCCACTCTGTGAAACGATTTAACTCTCGAGTCTAAGGAGTAGGTGGCAGTATATAATTAGAGATCGGCCCTTTGTTCATTGGACGTTAGGCTAAACATGGTGCAGAATTACATACTCTTATCAGCGGCCCTATTACCTGCGGCAGCTGTAGGGTCCGCGGAAACTCATATATTCCGCGGCCCTATTTCTTCCTATGATCCGCTGTTATACGCGCTTTTACCTACAACGCATAGGAGGCCTTTCTAATAGTATTCGCGATTTTTCTGCAGATAACAGGAGTTGCACGACACATTATTTCTGATATCCGCGGTTGTTCGCGATTTATTTAAAATACAAACATGAACGTGACCAAACAGGTGCACGGACGCCAGCTGCTTTGAATATGAAAGACACGAATAGAGGGACACGCACGGGCACGGACGCACAGACACAGACAAGGAGACACGCAAGACACAGAGAGAACACACACACAGACACCGAAGCGAAGCACGCGGACAGAGGAGACAGCGAGACTCTCACCCGTGTCTCTACGGACTCCTGGCCGACCACTGGCACCCACAGCAACGAGTCGTGACACTCGACTTTACCGTGACACCTCACACCTGGGCGCGTCTCGACCATCGCCCCCCCTCTCTCTCTCTGTGTGCGCGTGCGTCTCGTGGCCGTGAGCGTGCGCGTGCCACTGTGTGCGCGTGCGTCTCCGTCTCGTGGCCGTGAGCGTGCGCGTGCCACTGTGTGCGCGTGCGTCTCCGTCTCGTGGCCGTGAGCGTGCGCGTGCCACTGTGTGCGCGTGCGTCTCCGTCTGGTGGCCGTGAGCGTGCGCGTGCCACTGTGTGCGCGTGCGTCTCCGTCTCGTGGCCGTGAGCGTGCGCGTGCCACTGTGTGCGCGTGCGTCTCGTGGCCGTGAGCGTGCGCGTGCCACTGTGTGCGCGTGCGTCTCGTGGCCGTGAGCGTGCGCGTGCCACTGTGTGCGCGTCGACCTCCGCGTGTCGCTTTGTGACACGGAGAGACGGACACGCGACGTTTCAGTGCGCGCACCACGACTCGGTCGGTCGCCCCTCCCCCCGCTACCCCCCCCCCCCTAGAATTCTTCCTATGACGACCAAGTGTCGTCGTCATCACCGCTGCCCCACGCTGCCTCCCTCTATACCACGGACGCACGCCCAGGGGCGCAGCTCTGGGGGGGGGGGGGAGTAGCGGCAGCGTTTAATATGTGATGCATCGAGGCCCAGTCGGGCACCAGGAGCCCGCGTGTCAACAGATATCAACAAATTTAGATTTGAAGCTTTCGTGACTGCAGGGATTCATGTTATTGGTTCTTTCGGTAAAGCCACGTAGAAGGGAAACAATAAAATAAAAAAATATATAAAACAATAAAATTCTCACGACGTTTCGGCTGCAACACAAGCAATTATCATCAGGTGTGAAAACCACAGCAAGAAAATTTGAAAA